CCAAGGTCAACTTCAGTCAAAAGCTCCTGTTTGCTGACATTACTGTCCATTTCTTTCACTTGACCTCTATGCATAATTTTGTGTTCTTGGTTAGCTTCAGATAAAGTATGACTGTGTTTGTGTTCTTGGTCTACTACATACAACACATCTTTTTCACTGACGATTGAAGGTTCTGTGTTCTCTTTCAGTAGAACAAGACTCTCTTCCTTGTTCCTTACTTTCAATAAATCAACCACTGGTTGACCATTTTGGGTCTCTGGAACTATGTCTCGAGTTGACGTCTCCTGGAGCCCTGGGGTGGCCTCATTCGCCGTCTGGAGACTATCAGTTGCCTTTTCTTTGCTTACCTCGACTTCATGGCTTCCGAATCTCTCTCTGAGCTCTTGCTTTACAATTTCATCAAATCTGTCCAGCAGTGAAGGATTTTCAGATCTTGACACCCAAACTACAGAAGACTCAGTTGGCAAAATATCTTGCGAAGGCATATCTGTAGGCAAGTAGTCATAGTCTTCCTCATCTACTCGATGCGGTTCCTCTTCCGCAGGTGGCAAGTTCTCATCAGGAGGAAATCGATGTGCTTGAGACAGACGGTCTTCATTGCCTTCGTGGTCATACATGAAAGGGTTACTGTGGCGGCCTTCAAGTGCTTCGTCCTCACTGGGGGTTGGCAGCATAGGCTTCTGAATTCGCAGCAGGTCGCAGTTGGGAATGGGGTAGCACATGAGAGGTCCACCCTCGTTGGGACAGTGGCAGACCTGACACGGCTCCATCTGGAAAGTGTGGCCCGCTTCAAACTTCTGCCCCCGGTGGGTGCAGCCGATGCGCTTGCACTGTGCACAGCCGTCAGCCGGCTGTGACAGTTCTATGCAGTTGGACGGGACATCGGGGCAAGGAATGAAGTGGCACGTGATCCGGCCGCCGCCTTGGGGGCAGGAACATTCTGTGCTTCCAAAGTCCACAAAGTAGGACTCGCCCTCAGGAACTTTTCCATTATGAAATCCTGCCTGGACGCAGTCATAGTATTGGTAGCCCTCGCATTTGCAACCTGTCTGCAGGCACGTAGCGCAGCAGGCATCTTGTTCCAGAACCTCCTCGATGCAGAACTTCAGCCGCGGACAGTCCACTCCTGTGCAGTCCTTCTGACACAAGTAGCGGCCAAGACACAGCAGGGATACACACTTGAAAAGCAGGGACTGTATGACCGTCTCACCTGCCATTTCACTTATGCCGCTCCGGAAAGTTCCAAAAATCCGGTATCAAGGCAACCCAACCTGAACAGAGTGCGCCCAAGTGCCTCCCAGAAACGGGCTCGATTGCAGCTCTTTTCATTAATTGATTGCACTTTGGAAAACCTATTAAAGAGAAAAAGAAACTGGTTATAAACCATTTCCCGTGAAGTGCTTTAGGCCGGCCGGATTCTCAAAGTTAAAGTCTACATCTGGCCCATTGAGCTCAGCCACAAGTTCGTACAGAACCCTGACATTAAGGGCACACATCCCCCCACCAGAGATGCAAAGTGTAATTTCACAGATTTTATTGACATTAGAAAGAACCATTAGGAAGTCTTCAGAAAAAGGTCTAATTGAGACGGCAAGCTTTAGAAACCCTGATATATTAAATATAATTGCTTTTTCTGTTTCACTGGCAACAACTTTCAGCCTGAGATATTCCTCCAAGCAGCTGAAAGCACCCTGAAGAGTAGAGCAGTCATGACTGCTGGATTATTTTGCAAAGCAGCATGACGACAGACCCAATTATACCATATTTCTGTACCGACCACTTACATTGGATTTCATTTGGGTATAAAATTAGGTGTTTAGTGTATAACTGTTTTCAAACCCTCTTTTATCCTGAATTGGAAAAGCAGAGTACTCCATATATGTTAAAATAGCACAATAATATAGCAATACACCCATTAATACACTAATTGATTCTTACAGAAAAATACTACTGATATTGTCTGGTGTATGTACTCATTTGCAATAATGTGATGCTTTTTTGCCACTAAGATTTTTTTTTAATATTTTTAAATGAAGATTTAGCGAAGAAACTTCACCAAATTTATTTGTAGCATTGGTAACCACAGAAAATTTTCAGTCTCACATTAAGGTCACCGATTCAGATCTTGTGGTCGACAGAGTGACTTCACTCTTGGGCCCTTGAGCAGGGAGACTGACCCTGTTTTCTCAATTGTACGTTGCTCGGGATAAAAGCGCCGGCTAATTAAAGGCAAGACCCCCTTTATTTCCTCTTTATCATTCCTTAATGGGGGATGAAAAACCATTCAATAACCATTCATTATTCAGAACAAAGTATTTAAATGAAAAACAGAGTAGCAAACATTACTCTCAGATAGTGGAGAGTGGTCTCTTTTCTGGTCCTGCTGTTTGTTGTGTGCCTATTGTATGGTAAAATCAGAAAGTGAGTTTTGTTTGTTCTGGATGCTCAGCTGGGGCCCTTCAGCCACACTTCTGAGCTTTCACGGCAAACGTCCGAAAGGCCCCGCCGTGTCCAGCATGGGCCGCTAACTCCCGCCATCTGAAAGCCTCAGCAGGAGTGCCATGCCGAGGGAGAGACGGCGGCGAAAGGCCACGGGTCCTCGGGAAGAGAGCCATCGGCCACCGCTGAAGGCGACACGGCAGCGGCCTCTCTCCCGGCTTGCGTTTCCCTCCCAGCAGGACGTGATGCGAGTGCATTTCACAGCTCACCGTGTGTTTTGCAGCAGGAGGGACAGCAGTGGGGTGCCAGCGACCTGTGTCACCCACTCGCACAACGTACACGACACGGTGACGGCAACAAATCAGAGGAACGCGCGCTTCAGACCTTACATCACGGTCTTGTGATTTGTTCTATTTGAAACAGTACCTTTAATTTATTAAATCCATTTAAAATGGTTTAGTGAGGAAAGGGCAGCCAAATGTCTTTGGATCGTAGGACATATCTGGCTGGTCCTTGTGTACTGTTGTGCATTCCCAGGCACTGTATTCATGAGTAAGGGTACAGCCCCATGTTGGCTCTCGCCCTCGCTCTGTTTTAGCTGCCCCTGAACTGCCTAATCTTGAAAGGCTATTGTTCTAGTGCATGGCAAGACAAATACAGCAGAAGAAAGCAGGGGTCCCGAGGGAAATAAAGATTCTTAAAAAAAAAAAAAAAGAAACCAACTTAACCTTTCACTGAAAAGCATTTAAATTGCACAAATTACCATTTATGCAGTCTGGCCAATTTCTCACTGTATGTCGTCTCCTTGGTTTGAACACAGACTCCTCTTTCTACATCCCCCTTTTCTCTGCCTGGGAAATGAATGACTAGAGAGACTCGTAAATGCTGTTTGTTTCTGAAGTGCATTTCCAGCTACACTTAGTCCCAACAGTAAACATTCATGACACATATAACGTAGCAGTGACAGAATTGCAAAAACAACGCCCGACTGTAAACAGATATTGAAAAGGGACAGGAATAGGAAACAAACATTTCACAAACATTTATTTACTGACACAGCTAACAAATGTGTCCTAGAACTAACAACACATTAACTAATTACACTTGCAAGTACAGGGATTTAATAAATATACAACAAATGAAAATGCTAAGGACTACAATAGGAACTAAGCACCTTGTAACCAACGATTTTTGTGTTATTGATCTGAAAATGCAGGCTGCACTCTGCATTGCAAATAGACTCACTGCACTATTGTGCGTTATTTTGCATTATATGGTACAGCCCATAAAACAGAAAGAAGTTACTAAGCAACTGCAAGGAGAGAAGCCGGCTTCCCATCCAGCTTCTTAAACCTCACAGTGAAACTGCTGACTGGCTTCTGCTGATGGTTTTACTTTAGTGGTCTAATGATGCCTTAGAAAAGGCCTGCATATTAAGGTAACCTTTTCAGACGCAGTTTACGGTAAAGACAGCGATTACTGGCATTTGTTTTCAATAGCATTATTTTACCTCTTTTGGAAGAAAAAGAACGAAGGAACTCATGGCAAATCCCCCAGTCTGACAAGTGGTGATGAGGTGCAGCACATTTTTGGCAGAACAAATCGATGATGCGTGAGTTTGGATATGAACTGATGAGCTAATGACCAAAAGAAGTGTGAAAAATGCACCCATACAGCAAGTATGAGTTATGGCCATCAGGCATTTTTGGAGGTACTAGGTCCTTGAAGCCCCCAACCCGCCCCCCCCCCACTGCTTCCCCTAAGTTTAACAACTTTTATGCTACTACTGGTTGAAATGGAGGTTCTGATTCCAGCACATCAGGGTACGACTTCCTGCCAAGAATATACCCATGATGCGTGACATCAGCGGACCCCCCAGTCAAGTTGCACTTGCACCAAAGAATCAGTGAAGCATAAAGAGACTGATTAACAAATAATGATTAAGATTGTAGAGGAAGTGGGTCCAAGCCGCTAGAGGAGGCAGGACCTATATGTCTGAGTGGCTAGTCCCACCTCCTCTACAGTCTAATTGGCTATCTCTCTGGACCAATCATTTTTTGTCCTGACCTCAGAATATTTTTGTGTAAGTAGAACACCCAAGAGGAGAGTAAGCAATGTACTAATCCACATGCAGGGGACACAAAAACACACACAAAGTGCACATTTACATTAGGAAAACACATGGCCCCCTTCACAACTTTGTGTACAAATCACAAAACTCTTCTAGGAACACCGTATCTTAATCATGCGGTGATCATTCCCCCCCCCATTTTTTTTTGGTCTTAATGAGAGGCTGCTGTTTCTTATGCATAAGTTAACCTTTTCACGCCTAGCCATACCCAATTTGTCAGAAAGACCAAACACTTTATCCCTAAAGTAATGCCTGTCAAAATACCATCTGTTAACTTGGGAATGCTGCATCGCTGCCTGAATGTCTTCCTGTTTCCATAAATTAGTAGCTTCCTCCTGATGAACAGGCTCCGTTCCACTGGAAAACAATATGAGGCTTAGCCAAATGGAACGCCGTCTCTCATTCTTTTTTTCCCTGCCAAAGGACACATAAACAAAGTTGATGTATGCCGCGTAAACGGCACTGCTGCATGCTATTCAGTGAGCATTTCTAAAGGCCACCGAACTAATCACTTTGTTTTCAAATTTCAATTATATTATGCTGATAGCATAATATCGGTGCTTGGCTTCCAGTCAATTTTTATATGTAATGATAATTGTCATCAAACGGATTTTGCAATAACTGTATGCCTCTCCTTTAAATTAAAAAGACGTGGGGTTGTTGCTGGTGGGCTTCTGTCATAAGATGGGATGACACCAGTCATTCTCCGGGGAGGGTAACTGGAAGTGGAACAGTCATTCAAGCACCAGAGGAGGTGCTTATACAATAAAAGCCAGAGAAAGTTTTTCTTTTTGAGAACGCTAAGGTCATAGGTCAGGCCAAAGTAGCGGGAATCTACTAACGCCAGGCCCTGTCAGCAGTAGTATATTTGGGTTTACCATAATAAGAGGTTCTGCGATTCTTTGCTCTATAGCCTCAAACCTAGCTTATGCCAAGATTTCCACAGGCCTTGGTCGCAAGATTGGAGGGCAAAAGTCGTCCTGTATCAGCAGCCGTATTTCTCCCATCAGACTTCTACTCTCGACCATGCATGCATTTTATGAAAGGCCACTTGTTCCGACGCACCATTCTTCAAAGCTTTCCATCTCCTTTCAAGGCTTCCATTATCCTGTCGCTGTCCAACGTAAACATGAGTGAAAGAGAAAACATTATACGGAAATGAGAAGCGCATTGAAATGCTTATTGGGAAATAAGAAGTCTCCTGTGTTAAAGGCCTTGCAGGTCACCCTAGGCTATGGGAGCTGCTGGGATTGCAGCGACACTCTTGCAATCGCCATGCAAAACAGTGGACCTGACGTCCCTTACGCAGGTAAGAGTCCTGCTTCAAGCCTGCAGTGCGCGCGTGTAAAAATAAGCACATCAGCAGCTCTTTCCATATGTGCTCAGTTAAAACAAGTAACATAACAATGTTGGTCTATGTACAGTTGTCAAAGTAACATGGCCTAAGAATACTGGACAAAAATCTGACACCGGCTGACTGCTGGCTAGACTTTAGTTATTGTCACTCTTTATCGAGCCATGAGATCCCTTTAAAAGTCATTGCTGGGTCTGTAAGCCCTCTTGGAGGCCTGTTTCCATTTTAGCTTGATAAAAGTAACGCTTGAGTCACCTTGGCACCAGATTTATACACGTCACATGTGTTCAATATTCCTAAGTTAGCTTGTCGGCCGGAGTGCATTGATGTCTTGCAGCTGGCTTTTTGATTGAAAGTTACGGCACTAGTGATAATTATTAGCTTAATACTTTATTCAGTGCACATACTGTAATTGCAGCACTTGCTTATATAAACTGCAGTTAAAACTGACAAGACCTTGCTTTTAATACAGTGAGGACAGTTTGTAACCTTGCTACGTAATCAACGAATCAGTGGTCACACCCCGGTGTGATTCGTATTTGAAGACTTGCATGACATTTCACTGAAGAACTATTACTGAATGCTGTCGCCATGGCATCACATGTAATGGTGACATCACCCCTGTGTTATGGCAAGAGTTTAACAGGATCCCTTTCATTCAGGGGCCTAATGCTTTTGCCTGGTGGTAGTATAGGTTACATTGAGGACCGTCACTTAAAAAGTATTTCAAAGACTGCTTAACAGCCTTTGATAACTTGTGAATTCGTTAATTCCAATCAAAAACAGTAGACACGTGTATAAACCACTCACTTAATCAGTGTGTTACTATTGTAAAAGGTCTTTTACACATTAACAAGAAAAACACACATTTTGCTGGATAACAAAATTATACATTAATATTTATTTGCATGTGAATTTTCTATGCAAAATAACAATACTCAAAATCAATCCATCCATCCATCCATTTTCTGTGCCCGCTTGTCCTATTCAGGGTCAGGGTAATATTCAAAATTAAGTAAAACTTTGACTCATTAAAAATATATTCCATAATTTGACCTCATAGTTGCAAACATTACTTATGTTAGGTGAACAAAATCACCTTAATAAGTCACACAATCAGTTAAATGGTCCATGTCAATGTGCATTAGGTGTGGGGGGGCAATATCTGATGACAGATTTCCAGATAAAATCACCAGCATTTGTGAGGTCCCTTAGTCTGGAGCAAAGACATCACGTAGAACAAGACACTTTCAAAGCTATGCAGAGATCAGGCTGTTATCACAAAGCACAGATTAGGAGAGGGATACAAAAAAATCACAGTGCCTGAACAATCCTGTGAATAGTCTATTCAAGAAATAGAAGAAGCATCAGACAGCACAGAACAGAGCACCCAAGCAAGAAGGGGATGCCATTCCAAGGGCAACTGTAACTTAGAAACAGGTGCTGAGTTCAGTAGTTGCAACAGGAGAAAATCAACCATTTCCAAAACACTGCATAAAAGCAGCCTGTTTGGCAGGCAGAGCAGAAGGAAGCCAGTGCTTAAAATTCCATATGAAAGTTCGTTTGCAGCAAAGCACCTGAGGAATCTGGCAAAACAAATAAAAAAACAGAACTTTTGGGAGTTCACAGAGTTATGTTTTAGTGCAGACCCAACATAGCACATCACCCCAGTTAATGCATGGTGGTGGCAGCAATGTGTTAAAGGGTTAATCTTCATCAGCAGAGACTGGAAAGCATGTCAAGATGGAAGGACAAATGGACAGTGCAAGATGTAGGGAAATACAAGACGAAAACCTGTTTCAGTCTACTAACGACTTAAAATTGGGCTGAAATTCCATCTTCCAGCAGGGCAACGATCCTAAATGCAAGGCCAAAGCTACCCGGGAGTGTCTTCAGAAGAAAGTCAGTGTCCTAGAGTGACCCAGTCAAAGTCCTGAACTGAATCCAACTGAGAATCTGTGGTGAGACTGCTGTGATCTCCAAGCAACTTGAGAGAGTTTGAACGTATGTGCCAACAATGGGCAACATTACACAAAATTGCATTAAAGCAGTGGTAGACACTTACCCCAAAACACTTTAAGCTGTAACTGCTGCCAAAGGTGCTGGCACCAAATACTGAGGAATTTTATGTTTTTTTATTGTTTTCATAATGTAAAACTGATGCTGACAAATTCATGTTCAATATTATTTTGTATTAAAATACCATGCAGAAGAAAATTATTTGGTTATCTAGTAAAATGTCTGATTTTCCGTTTAACAAATGAGTAATACTAAGAACTGTCCTTGTTTACTCATCGTATGTCGTACAAACAATTACAGAATCAGGACTTCCCAGCCTGCACTATATGTCTGGAAGACGTCCTTCTGTTGCATTGGAAAACGAAAGACTCTCTGTTATCAATACGCGCTTACGGGCAATTTCACCAAAAAGCTCCCACATAGAGGTGTCATCAATTTGCATATGCAAGAAACGTGTTTCCGCATCAAGGTGTCCCCGCCCCCCTATTTAAAGAGACTAATCGAAAACATATACGGTGTAAAGCCCCCCCACCCCCTTCTCCCACCTGCTCCTGTAGAGACTCGATCTGTGGATTTTTGTCTTTACGCGATTCGCGGTATTTACAGTCCTTATCCTATTCAAAATGCACGAGCGAAGTCAGGTTAAAATTGTTTTATGGCTGCAAACTTAGTAATCTGTAAAGAACTTTATGCTAAACTTTAAGTAAAATTTGGAAAAGGATAAAGCAAGTGAGAGGTAATCAGTGTATGCTCACTAACTGTGTTTTAAACGTGTTACCGTATTTTCTCATCAATACATTTACGCGACATAACCCACTACACCCGGCCTAGCTTTTTCCATCCATCCATTTTCCATACCAGCTTGTCCTATGCAGGGTCGCGGGGGTCCGAAGCCCATCCTGGAACCTCATGACATTGTTTATTTGTTAACTCGAAGAATAACAAAACTCTCAAAAATAGCCACAGATTCGGTGCACCTACAGTATGTGAAGGATTTCTGTGTGCACCTCTGGTTTACACGATTAGCAGACCTAATTTAACAAACCTACAAACTTCCATTTCATTCTATAAATAAACGACAGTAAATACAACTGAACTTTTGTTCTATATTAAATTATTCATTCTGAAACAAAACAGTGAGAAAATCTAATTGCATTATGGTTATATTGCAGTTAAGAATTTTATGTCTGCTTTCTAATTTTCCCTAAGAATTTTCGATTTATCGCTGACAGTTATTCGTTGCCACTGTATAACCCATCTATTCTTTTATAATGGACGCACATCTATGTCACATTAACTTTAGTGTTTCATTCACCTTCCCAACCTTAGGCCACGCAAACTTGGTTTCAAGTAGGTTTTGTAACATATTGCGTAATGTCAGTAAATCTAAAAGTACATGCAGTTACTGGTACAGTAACTCCAAGCAAAACAAGTAGCCTATATGCACTATTGAACGTTCCAAACCGTAGAATATAATTCGCAAAATCAAAACCACTTTCTAAAAGCGGAGAAATTTCAATAAATATTGTGATCGGACTGCTGTGCGCTACACCGGTTACATTTCATCTGACCACCTACCAGAAAAAAGTGGAATGGAAACGGACTAAATTAAAGTTTGTGCATGCATAAAATACAGTTTACCCCTGCATAAAATGTCTTAAGCAGCATGCACTTGCTTGGAGAGGCATCGTAACAAAAATAAAGTTAGAAACACATAGACAAAGAGTTTATTTGTTCTTACCTAGTGTTCCAAGTTGTGTCGAGTTCTGAAATTCCAAACCAAAGTTAGCTGTTTGACTTAGAGCGACACTATTATTGTACTAATACCGGCCAGACTGGGATCGCTTCAAATTGGCAAAAGAGAAACGAGGGGAGGGACGAAAGTTTGTCGCTGCCCAGCAAAGCGAGCGCTCAGCCCGAGTGGCAGATGCAGCCCCCCCGAATTACCTTTGTTTTTTTCTCTCCTTTTTCCCATATGAATGCCACTGTAAATAGCTCAACGCCCCCAACGCCCAAATACTTGATCTTTATTGCACTTATTCACAGAGGCACATCAAAGTGTTCAGATGTACGTATAGATAAACTCCAATGCTTCTGGAGATTTTTTCTTCTCAGAAACGTACAGTACTGAAACATTATTTATGCTCGTTAGGAAACACATATGTATATGTAGTCCTACTGTTCAAGAAAAAAAAAACTCAACTGCTTTCAGAAACTAAACAGACCGTGTGACACAACTGAGAAAAATACTTACTCATCACAAAATGGCACATCACATTTTATTTCTAAAATAAATCTGAAACACTTACTTTCCATCCTTAATGTTTCTTTCACACGCCCGCTTTAAAAAAGAAATCGCTTTGTAGGCCATTTTCACAAAAATTCATATCGCTGTCAAAATATATGCGGTTCCATAATTCTTTTTCCTAGTATAAACCTTTAATGTTTTATTTTAGATAATGACCAAGATATCCCAAAAAATGTTTTACTTGGTTTTGTAACTTGAAATCATTCCCTGGACAGTTTGGCTGCATTCCTCTAAAATATTTTTGAATTTTGCCAGTTGTTAAAAATAAAAGTATATAAACAAACTCGTGACACCTGCGATTTAAAGAAACGTGGAAGTTTCCAGTCACCAGTGTGTCCAGCTGTGCTGGAATGGAAATGGGAGACCACTGCATGCCTACCGGGCAGAACAGCCACGATGCCCGTTTGGAAGCAAACATTTTAACATTAAGCTGGCCAGACCACCGTTTAATGTTGAGTGAAAGCTAAACGCGAACAAGGGAACATAAAGCAGGAAATTACTGTTTCACTTCAAATGACACTTTCAAGTTTACAATACAGCTTATTTCCTCTTGCATCAGTTTTAACGGGGAATTAAAAAAAAAAAAGAAGCCCTGGGGCATTTAAGGACACAAACGTAAATTCGTGACAGTAACCTTGGCCGGTGTAACCTACAGGTTCGAGTTATAAAATGCGAAGTGGAGCTGCATGCTTTCTCATGCGCAATTTCTTAGTCTTTCAAAGAAACATTATTGTCTGTAGCACACAGTTAGCATTGTACCGCAGTTTCAGAGCCAGTGTAGTGTTACATCAATAACTGGATCGCCTGTTTCTGTTTCTTTACCAAATTAAATGTTGGTATGTGGGCACTGTGAGGTTCCCGCGCTTGTGAATGTACAGCACGTATCTGTTACACTCACCGCAGTTTCAACATTTTTTTAGAGTCTCAAAAGTAAAAATGATCCTGCAAGTTTAATAAGACTTGTAATTCATGCCATGGGCAAAATACATTCACAATCAGACCATAAAGAGCAGCCAGATGCCGGCATCCCCATTGATTCACTTTACATATTCAGCATGGTTTTGATAAGCCAATCGTAGGATGTTCCCTGATTTTGTGCAGTTCCGTGACTCAGGGCACAGGGGACACCCCAGGTCTGGCAGAGGACCAGTGGCAGTCCAACACAGTTCACAGTCAGTCTTGCCATGACCTAAGTTGTAGAAGTTTGGCAATATTTGAGAAAGGAAAACAGTTTCCTTAACAGAGAACTAGCACTGACTCAGAATAAAGTATCTCGCTGTCCAAGAAACTCTCAGCATTTCTTGTCCTATAAATATCCTATGGAATTAGTTTTGTCACACTCATATTTGTAGCATATGTTTATAACTTTCCTTACCGTCAGTGCTAAATGACTTGGCTGGCAGGGCACTTAAAAGTTGTGGAATAGTTTTCCTGTTGTTTTCAAATTTAAAAGTCATAACCAACAGTTATGTGAATTGGAGCAGAAGGACAGATTTATGCTTCAGGTGTTTGACACTATACCCTGCCCTTTTCAAAGCTCACGGGAATGAGGAATATTTGAAATTTGCAATGCAATCTCCCAGAATTCCACGTGGTAATGACTTACCGAGTAAGCCCGAGTCACACTTCAATCCTCAGATGCCTCTGACCTCCAATAAGCCCTGAACTTGTCAAACAGTGGACAGCAAGGGTTATAGCAAAATACAAGAGGCGCTTTACTCCCTGTAACTGATACAGCAACATTGGGGCAAAATGCTAGCATTTAAGATGATAGTAGCTCTAGAAAACATGGGCTTTAGAAACAGCCTTACATGCTACGATTGGCCTGATTCATCAGTCGGTGGAGGTTTTATTTCATGCAAACGGTGTTACATCACTGCAGACTTACTACCAAGAAAACGAGCAGGTAGTGGCCTGAAAAAAAGCAAGTTAGCGACATTAGCGCTGCAGGTAACGGAACAGGAAAATGCAGCCGGACCCTGGGCGTGCCAGTTATGGTCGGGCTGGCTCATCCCTAGGTCCTGCACGCCGGCAGACTGGTGAGATTTGTGGAAGCCCAGCGCGATCTTGGCTGGGAGGTTATCGTACACAGACCATCTTTTGAAGAGGTCCAGAGAGGGGGGTTTATTGGGGGGGAGGGTACAATATCATGCCCTACTTTCTCAGGAAGCCCTGAGGAATGGTTGAGGGGTAGGAGTTGATGAAGTCTGACTCAGAAATCAAAATTAAACCTGTTAGGGTTCAGGTGCATCCCTGTGGAGAGAGGGGGGGTCTGCTTTCTGGTTGGTGACTTCTTTAATGAATGGTTTGCATGCTTGCAGGCCACCAGTGGGTTAGATTGCTAGGGGGGGGTCACCTGTCCACTAATTTATCCATTGCATATCCTGTGCAGGGCCACAGTGAGCTTGGGGCCAATCCTAGGAAGTAGAGGACAAATCCTAGAGCATATGGACTGTGGGGGGAAGCCAGAGCCCGCAGGGTAAACAGACACAAGCCCAGGGAAAACGTGCAGATTCTGCACACACTGAGCTGTGGTCAAGACTGAACCTACAACTCCAGAGGTTAAGGCCTCTGAGCGCCTGCACCACTTTAATAGCAATATTCTAACAAATAGTGTCCACTAACTTCAAAATCCATGGTCATCGACTGTAGCTCCCAGCATGCCTTGCAGCTTTGGCTGGCAGAAGGGTGAATCGAATAGTGATCCCTCTTGGAAATTTGTCTTTTTACCTGTTTTACGACAGACATGGACCCATATACAGGTGTGAGCACGTTTGGGGGTCATGGCACAAGAGTAGCCAGCATCTCCTACCACTGAAGCAGCTGGGGTTAGGAACCCAAGGGTGATATTGCTCTACCTGCCACGGGCCTGGCAGGCCTCTGATTAGAGGTACAATGTTTTAAGCCTCAGATCCACAGACTGCGGAAAATATAAAGAGCCTATGTGTCCTTAGTGTCTCATCTCACTCGCTCAGACAGAACATGACACCACTGGGGCAACAGGCCATAATTCACATTGTTTTAGGTCCATGTATGAATATATAAGTTAAAAGAGGACAAACAGCTGAAACTTCTCTGTGAGAAGACAGATTGGCTCTATTTATAACCACATAGTCAGAGGAGGTATAGGACTATGTTTTGATTACATCTAAATCAGGCAGCAAGTATTATTATTTCTGGGGGAGCGGAAGAGCAGAGTGTTTTGGCCCCAAATATGTATTGGGGTTTTCCCTAAATAAGACCAAAGTATGTTACGACATGTCATGGGCGTGGCAGCCCCTGGCAATTTGCCCAGGTCACCCTGATTTTTTCCACGAAGCACAGAACAGGAGTAAATGACTTTGCCCAGCTGCAGTGAGAGTCCCACACCCACATTTAGTGGTGGAAAAAATACTCAATTTTCATACTTGAGTTAAAGTACAGATTCCACACCAAAATGTCACTCAAGAAAAAGTTAGTCATCTAGTGAAATACTACTCATGTAACAAATACCTGGTTTGCTCTTGCAAAAACCAACCTCTACTTTTAAATTCACTCAATACAGGTTTGAATATAGCATTATAAGTTACAGTGTATCACAATAAGGAAAAATCGCAAGAGGATAAGTGGATATATTCTTTTTATTTACAAAATAGGCAGCTTGTAGGTGATTTGGTCACAGTTGGAGGCCACTGCAGTGCCATTGTAACATCAGACTAGAACTTGGCCTGTGGAATATGGCGATATTATCAGTGATCGACAATATTACACTAGTAACCCAATGTTGGTACCTGACTAACCAGCGATTATTGCCTTTACTGGGGAAGGAGGCATAGGCTACGCACAAAGCAAGATAACAGAAAGATGTATAAGAGATTAACAATCTGACTTTCAGGTCACCCTTCTAGGTTACGTTTCCGATACCCCAGACAACTTCTTCATGAGCGTAACACTTTCAGACGTGCTACGTAGTGTATGATAGAATAGAACAATAGAAATGTAACATGGAAAACCTTCCAGCGATACTTTAAAAACGATATTGTTAGCTGATAAACTTCCCAAAGCGTCACCGTAAAAGGGAAGGATCATCTGCAGTAAGTTTCTTTTGTCTCAGGCCAAAATTGGGGGGGGGGGGGCAATACGATTCAGGAATTAAAAAAATCTCTGGGGCATAGATAAGATCACCATTATGACTATTTTGATTTTAGATCTTAAAAAAAAGCCAAAATAAAAATAAACTGCGGCCCAGTTTAGACCAGAACAAAACAAGTACAGTATATCTTCATATGAATTCTGGCTTTTCACTACTTCAGAAATGTGTGAATATGAAGGCTGCCTATTTCTGTTGAACTAGCAAGTGCAGGCGAGAATTCAGCTTCTTACAAAATAAATAAAAATAATAATTCTGGTTCTAGGTGACTTTCCAAGACCATTATCCTGATTTTGGGGCACAGAGCCCAGCTTCAACTTAACCATCATCTAAAGACACTTGTTTAGAGTGCTGCAGAACAATTCTTTCATGTAGTTTCCATCTAGCATGCTTTTGCTATTAAAATTTCAACATGTGCATGATATTATAAAAGTAGAAAATGCATGGAAAATGTGTGTGAAGTACTCCTGCTCA